ATGTTTGCTATCACCCCCCAGCGCCGGTACGACGAGTACGACCGTTTGTTGCGACTGTTAGACGAGCTGTCCAACCCCTGGGGCAGCCCGGTTCCGTATGGAGAAGGTGCGTTGGCCAACGCTAGGGGCCGGCTAGGGGACTCTGAGGTGAGACATGTTTGTCATCATCATCAATACTCAATGCTGTTAAAAGCCGAAGCGTTAGATTCCCGGGTTGATACCTAATCTATCATGTTAGTGCCATGCCGTAAGGTGCGTCACGTGAGTGTTTCTGCACATCATATTGCGCACATACTTGCCTAGCAATAGGTGTTTCGTCCTTTTTAGGACGAAATTTGTTGTTATTTGAAGCCCAACCCAGGCTTTTGCCAGGGACCACAATATACGCAGACTAAATATGGCCAATTGTCTGAAAGCGGTTTCTGTTACCTCTCCATGGCGATCATCATCCACATGGTGGCACTTTGTGTCATCGGGTGTTTGTCGCTTGTGTGATGTCCTAGTGGGGTAGAAAGTCAATCAGTCAGTTTCTGCACATTCATAGGGACATTTTTTTTTAATGCGGGGGGGGGGGGAGAAGAAGGACGGGGAGGTTAAGGGGTGGTATGTAGATTATATAAAATGTATTAACAGAAATGAGAGCATCTTTACATGTTTATGGACGTAGCTCAGTCTGATTACAAACGTATCAGTTTGGTTATATGTCGTTCTTGCCTTCCTTTGAGTGTATAGTGTGGGCCAAATCCCGAGGTCACATTACTACACCTTTTTCTCAAGGCCTTAATAATCTATCCTCATTGTTCATCATCCCCCAAAGAGCCTTGATCACATTGGCTATACAAACGTTAGTCTCCCCACAAAAGGTAGGTCAATTTCATTAATAAGTTTGTTGGACTAGTCTACCGTGGTCAAGGTTATGGGTGTGCCGGTATGTTGTTGTGTTGCATTTATGTTTTTATTCAGAGAAAGAGACTGCCTGTGACATAGGTTTCATCCCTCTCTAGGGGGGTTGTGTGTTAGACCCAGTTCCTAAATGTTTTTGGAGTGTTAAAAGCTCTGGCATGGTGAAATATACAACACGCGATATCGACTTCATTGCGGAACAGCCCCGTCACCTTCTGTGAAAGCGGATACCTGGCAGCCCACCGATCAGGAATGAGGTGGACTGAAGGTCGACCAATCAGAAGTGAGCTAGTGTGTGTTGGTGTGTAAAGTGGGAGGTCGGGGAGGGGTGAATCTTTTGTTTTATCATCACATCTGCCTTGTCATGCATCAGTTCTCAACCCCCCCCCCCCCCGCTCCCCCGCCCATTTTTTCCCCAAGTGTTGCAAACCAGCTACAGAGTGTCTGCTCTGTACTTGAGACTCTGCAGCAGCTAATGAAGTAGCCATGGACAGTCTTAGATCACAGGAACAGAAATGCTGTCTCAGGCAGAAGGCCCAGAGTCATGATTGCCAACATTAAAGAGAAGGTTAGAACAAGACCTTGCCTGAAATAATTGAAAGATAGAATGAAGGGATATGGCCATTGTGTATCTCTGCCTAAACGTTTAAAAACCTTGTGGTTATAAGCGCTGCATCCTGGGTAGTAGTGCGTCTAAGAAAAACTTGAATACTCTGTTCAGAAATCTAGATACTGTACCTCGATCACTGCAGACTGCAGTCAGACCAAACTGTATATCACCTTCTACCAGAAAACATATGGGTGGAAGGCAAGAGGAAGACCAAGAAAATATGGATATAAATGGTGTAGCTGAATCATGCAAAAAAAAAAAAAAAAAATCAATTGTTCAAGCCACCTTAGAAGGGCAGGACAAATATAGAAACCACTACAGTGGGTTACAATCTGGTAACGTCATGATAACAAAAGAAGAACTCTGTAAAATGTTATCTTAACTAACAAATCTGTCCGCCTAAAGAAATTGAAACACTAATTAAAATATACAAATTAAAATAACAACAGAGGCAGAGTGAGTAGATATAAAAACTGGATGGGGCGCAAGTAATTAGGAAACATAAATCATGCACGTAGAACAAGGAAGAACAAGCAGACATATGCTACTGTGCCTCAGCTTGTGTTCGCTAGTATTTATTTCCTAGTATATTTTGCTGTATCTTGTCAGGTGCATACTAATGAAACCACTGGTGTAGACAGTTAAATCTTCTGCCTGTTTTCCAGACCTGTTAGGAAGTGACACCGTGGAATAAGCCACATGCCAGGGCTGTATGAAGGCAAGAGTATATGATGATGATGTTGATTGATTCAAGAAACATAATGACGATGACAATAACCCGATAATAACCATATGATAACCATAATAACCATATGTTTCTTGATGTTTCCAGAAGTAATATAATGTTGTTGCTGTCTTTCACAGACAGGTGTTTTGTAAACTCATTGTATCTAAATTATGTCTACTTCTGTCCCATAATGTCTCTTGTCCAACTCAATCAGAGCTAAGTATTTAAAATTATTAAGCTAACTGCTTGCTTAGTAAACCTAAGAGCCATGTTAGTGCATTAGCTAGATGCTTGCTGATGTCCTAAAGTTCTTAGGTTTCTTTCCTCACTGCTGCAGATTTCTTCAATGATTTACCAGATTTCCTTCATTCGACCTGAATATTCAGCCTTTATGAATTAAATGAGCTGAACTTCTTGAGATATTTTAAGGATTTAAAGTAACAAGTGCTTGGTACTCATTGTTGTACACAATATAGGGACACAAATGGGTCATCACAGTCTGGAGTGAATGTTCTGCTCCTCACTCTACACACACTCAGGGCAAAGGCTAGAGGGGCACATAATCAGAATGCTACTGGTACCATTGGAGTAGGAACTCTATTAATTGTCTGCTGAAGATGAGGTCAGAGTTCTTACGGGAATGTCCCAAGTGCTGTCATGTCAGTTTTTAACTCAGCACTGCTTGGTACCAAAAGGGTTATGTGTCAGACTATGCCTTCAAATTCTTTTTCTATTCTTGGTCATTAACACCTTCCAGTACTTGGTTTTTCTGGTTAATTAAATGTCAGATTACCTTCTAATATTTTGTTTTTACATTATTTGTCAAAATGTGTCTTCTAAAATAATTTTTTTTAAAATTAGATTCATAACACGGATAAGGAATTCCGCATACGTATGGACCTTGGTAACTATGCTCCAGAGGAAGTGAAAATTACATCTGACAATGACAGAATTATTGTCCATGCCAAACATGAGGAGAAACAGGACAACCACGGTTTTGTCTCTCGTGAGATGTGTAGAAAGTACAAGCTGCCCAAGGTAAGGTGTTTATTTTCATTTTAAAATGATTAGCAACAACATGGAATTTCAGCATCATATCAGAAACACTGCTGACGAGCTGATAGGATGAATGTCTGAACATGTGCACACTGAAGTTGGAAAGCTTGACAACACAGACAGACAACAACAAAATGTTTTGACCAAACTCTTTATCAATAAACAAAACAACAGAACCAAAACAGAGATCTCACAATTAATTCTTATTATTAGTTAGTTGCATATCCTTCACAGGAACCTGCAGAACTAACCCTAGCATTTTTTGGCTGTTGAGGTTTTCCTAGGCATGTTTACCTCCAGTAGTTTGCCATTGCTTTCTCGACGGTCAAATTCTCAATACCACTGTCGAAACCTAAGCAAGGCGTAAGGCTAGCAGCTGGGATCGAACCCGGCACCCTGGCATTACAAAGCGCGTTCGTAACGCCTAAACCACAGACGGCGACATTCTTATTAAAGAAAAATAAAAAATAGACTGTCATAACAAATTATTATAGAAAAGCATACGAAAAGGAGGATGAAGAGAACTGAAGAAAGAATACATACACAGATTTATACAAGGTAAACGGAATGCTGAATATTAACCCTGCCTGAGTTCCATCTAAATCTATATATCTTCTGCATGTCACTTTTGACATACAGAAGAGCCCCTTGCCCAAAGTTTACATAGCATTCTGCAAACATCTCCATGTTCTTCCTTTGGTAACATTTGCCAGATGAATACGCCTGAGGGAAGAACACCTAAATGTGAAAAAGTTAGAGGAGTGAAAACTGAAGCAAACACGACAGACTAGTAAATATATTTATATTAGATATAAAGAATGCTGATTTTTAATCATGCCTGAGTTCAGAACAGCTGAACTATGACGGATGCTTGTTTTAAGTGCCTGTAATTTTTTTTTTTGTTATAAGATTGCTAGTTGCCTGTTTGTGCTCAGTTATTTTTTCAGCATAGGCACATAAGTAACAGATTGGGCCGGACAAACACCTAACGCACTGCGATTAAACTGGGGACAGGTAAACTCAAAGAAGTTGTTTTTAAAGTTATAGGCTCTAGGTGTCATGCAGTCTATTGACTTACTAACTTAGAGTGAAGAAATAACTCCAGATCTAGCTGATGTGACGACACTCATTAGAGATACGTTGAGATGGCTAATGCTATCAGAAAACCGTATAGAAATGCCAGTATGAATTGATGTCCACTAAGATGACATAATACAGTAAAACCTCATTAACATGAAATCACTTAGTATATTCAAACAAAGTGTTTCTTCCAGCAGGGTTCATTGTTGTCACTTGTCCCTGATTAGTATAATTTTGTTTTAACATGCTCTTGACTTTCAATCTGTGTGATTTCATGTTAACAAGATTTTGCTGTTTGACTAAGGCAGGGGAACATCCGACGTGTAGCCAGCAACCTCATAACCAGATAATTATCATCACCATAAAAAACCAATACACAAATAAGGCAAGAATCCAGGCAAGAGTATGTGTCTAATTTTATACGAAAACGCCGCTGGAACTATGTCGGCCACGCCCTTAGAATAAATAAATCAAGACTTCCTTACCAAGCCCTCATTTGGACACCACAGGGGAAAAGATCTCGTGGAAGACCAAGGGAAACCCTACGTAGAACTATCATCAGGGAAGGCTCGCTCATGGGCCACTCAAACATCCAAGACCTACAACAGATTGCAACGAACCGCCATGCATGGAGAGTCATGACCTCTGCCCCATGTGCCGCACTCGACACAAGAGGAAAGACTAACTAATAAAAAGACCACTACTAATTACTGGCTTCATGAACGCTAAGGGCATGGTTAGGGCATAAAGGGAGAATGGTAGTTGACAGAGAGGCAAAAACTATGCACACAAAAGAGTTGAATGGGAGGAAACCACCAGGCAGACCAAGAAGACACTGAAGTGATCACACGCACACACACATACATATATGCAGATCTGCAAACACAGTCACCAGCTGGAAAGATAGACCAATCAAAGAAATGATTTAAGGCAGAGAACATGTGACACAACCTCAAATGCTTGGAATGCTGAAGAAGAAGATAAATTTACACCTTTTGGTCTTCTCTTAGAAAGCTTGAACTCTTTATGGGCATGACCAGAGTGCTGTGAGAATTTATCATCATTAAAAATTTACCCATCGTAACTATTCCACAACATACGATATGTTTATGAACACTGCATACATGAGATACTGTTCTACAGGATACGGACATGATCTAGTCATGTTTAGAGTAGCTGGTCAACGTATGGTCAGATTTTTGCATGAGTTGAAAAGGGAGTTGCTTAACAATAAATTATGAATTTGTATGTGTTCTAGTTTATTTAAATTTATAATAAAACATTGCTTTGAAAGGGGGAATCCTTCTGCACAGGATGTGCAGGCAGGCTCAGATTCTCTAGATTTGACAGCACTCAATGTCTTTTATCTGTGCAGATTGTATGTCCATGATCTGATGTGTTTCTACTTTCAGGAATGTGATCCCAAGTCGGTGATCTCGACCATGAACTCTCACGGAATTCTCAATATAAAGGTGGCAAAGAAAGCTATAGAACCACCAAAGGAGACAGCAATCCCAGTTGAATATAAGGAATAAGTCCGGTGCTGTGGTCAGCTTGTCCTGATACCAAAATATACTCAGTGTGGTAGCATAAGAAAATTTTTGCATAGGAATGTTTTCTCATTGCAACAGATTTGACACAAAAGAAATCAAAACAACAGTCATCATAGAGACAGTAAACTTGACCAAGATCTACTTGTCAGTATAAAGTTTAAAAAAAAAAAGAAACTTAGTAGTATAGATTCAACTCATCAATACCAGGACAACAAACTTGACCTATATTAAACCAGCTAGTCAGCTTAGACAAAACACTTGGCTAACAAAAATCCAGCTGGTCAACTTAGGAAAAACAAAACTGACCAATATAAATGCATCTAGTCAACTCAGAGACAGCAAACTTGACCATCATCAACCCAAGTTGGGAAGAACAGGTTTGACCTTAACAAATCAAGCTAGTCAGCATTTGGACAACCAACTTGACCATTATAAACCCACCTGATCAGCTTGGGAGCAACACATTTGAGCAATAGAAAGGCACTAGTTAACTTAAGGACAACAAACTACCATTATAGATCAGTATTAAAAACAGAGGCAGCAAACTGGAGCAGTGCAAACATACCATGTAGCAATTGTGTTGCACAGTCAGATCTAGTCATGACCCTAAGAGGATGAGCTTGTCAACTAAGAAGACATCAATGAAAATGTTAATGACAGATGTTATTGGAAGGTTTCGATTTTAAACTTTGTTACAGCTGGAATGATCGGTGACACAAAAAAAAAAGGAATGCAAAGAGATAAATATATGGATGTCTTAGTCATATTGATGGTGGGAGATGAGCACTGACCTGATCCATAATTATGGGGATCACGTGAGATGGTGAAACATAACAGCCTGCAGTTATTGGCAATGGCACTTGATAATGATGATGAATGACAACAGCTCAAAACATTGTTCTGAAACAAGCTGATGATTAACGATTTTTGGTTGTTAAATATTAAAATATGTTAACAGTTATACAAATATTCAGTACGTGTTCATTCCACTTCTGTGATAATGATAACTCTTTCATAAAATATTGAAATATTTTAAATGGTTAAGCAAATGCTCAGTACACATTTGTTCCAGTTCTGTGCTGATGTTAATTCATTTCATTATTTACACAAAGAGCTTTTTGAGAATAACACTTTCTATTTAAAAGACAAAATAGCTTTTACATATATGTAGCTACTTTATGGTTGATTAATAATTTATGTTGCTTTATGTTTTCATGTCTGTGTTTTTATATTTCAGTTAACTCGACCTGTGTGATTGTTATATTTTCTTTTTCTCCTCCCAACCCCTATAATTTTTAATTTACAGTGAAGATGTCTGATGGCTCCATATTGTATCAGTTTTGTTTTACTACATGACTAAAACTTTGTCATGCTTTTTCTTGCTTGATCAGAGTATTAAATTTGTTACTTCCAATTTGATCTTTTATATTATTGCAGGGACTTTACTCCACATTTGACTTGCCATGTGTGCTCAATACTCGAATGCAGAAGTCGTCTGCTATTTATATCAATAGTATCCTGTTCAATCCTTTTGGATGTAAGAGGTATATTTTATACACACAATGGACAATCAAAATATTTATATTAATAATATTCTGTGAGATGTAATAGTGTTTTTTTTTTTCTTTCATACCGACAAATGGGCATGTTTTGTTTTCTAAGTAGTATTTATATCGGTGATATCCTGTTCATCTGTTTTGGGATATAATTGGGATATGTAGAGACTATAATTTTATTATTTTTAATTCAGATAATAGATATTTGAATTACTGTGACCCTTATGGTTATTTCATAATAATTATCTGTTTTGGACAATAATTCACAACATGTTACCTATCCCTGAGAATATTGATAGATTTCATTAACTACTTAGATTATTAGTATTTCGCATGACCATATAGATCCTTGGAATGAGAGTGAAGAAATTATTGCGGAAAGGATGAGAGTTGAGCTTCTGAGAAGAAACAGATTAAACACAAATGTTTTTATCCTAGGAAGAGGAAATGCAACCTGAAAACTTTATGTTATGGCAGGGCAGACCAGGCCCCTAGCCTTTGGTTGGTTGCTGGTCCAGGAGGAAAGCTCCGACAAGCGGACAGATAGAGCATGCTCTTTTGATCCGGCAGCTTCTGCGGTCTACTTTGTTCTAAACGTACTGGTTTTACCTTTCCTTTGGAGTAAACACGGCAGGTCGAGAGAGGGATCATATGCATAGGCAACATATGGGTCTCTACAATACTGCCCAGGCTTTGTGCTGTGGAGTGGATGAACTTCATCCCTGGCCATAACTGGTCTCAGAAACCTCTGCCACGGTAAAAAGATATGTGCAAGTGGGACATGAAATGAATGATACAGGTATTGAGGTGGACTCGTGGGAACAAAATCCCATGGACCGTGTTATGTGGAAAGGGCACATCAGGAAGGGAATGAGAATGAAGAAAGAAATGATTGCAAAAAGGATGAGAGCTGAGCATCTGAAGAAACGGATTAAACACAAATTTTGACAACATAGGTCCTGAAATCCCATGCTATCATTGTGGAAGACTTCTTGACACGGGTGGTCTTGCTAGTCACATTCGCCATCGCCATGGGCTGTGAGTCCCATGCCTCCTCATAGCGCAGTATAACACTATCATTGATCCTTCATATTGGGAGTTTGTGTATTTGTTGACCAGTTTAATCCTTCCCTGCAACTGTACAGGGCTATATGTTTTCTGTTTACAATATGGTCTTTGTTTATCATATAAACATTTTAGCTTGAGATGTTGTTTAGCTCATGCATACTTTCTCTGGTTAACTTGTTTAGCATTTTTTTTTTTCACATCCAAGTTTTGACATTTTCCCTTGCATAATAGTGTGTTTGCTATTAGGTGCTTTTCTCATTAGCAGATTTCCTAATATAAAATATTTTATTTGTTTGTTTTTATCAAAACTGGAGGCAATGGAAATTTGCTATTGTAAATAATTTTGTTGATGGAAAAGTTGTTAATTTCACTTGTCAAAACCTTAGGGCAGTGTAGTTCTCTCTTACTATTGATCTGCTGCCTTGAACCTAAACTTCATAATAATCATATGGAATAACTTTTTATTGTTTATAAATATTATAGTCACACACAAAAAATTGCATTCTAAATTTGTTTGTGTGTGCGTGTGCGCACGCGTCAGATTGGAGCTGTGATCAAATCCATCACCATAGAGTTTGGAGGCTAATGTGAAATATTTGACTGAAATTCCAAATTACAGATAAAAATGGACAGTCATGATTGCCCAGATCTATCCAAATTGTCTAAGAAAACATCAGCAACTCTTTACACTTAACGATGATGAATGTGTCCGTGACCCACTGAGTGCTGATTGGTCTAAAAAATATGTCTAGCATTATATGTGTGAGACGCAACTGGCCGGAAAAGGGATTATTACTTTACGTTTATGATGGTTACGTTATAAATTATTTTACCTATAGGTTGTGTATTTAGGTAGGGAGCCACAGTAATGTAGTGGCTAGCAGCTGTCCTTCTGCCCAGAAAAACCTAAAATTGGTACCAGAAAATGTCTGGGGAAGTTACCATGACCAGTATGATGGTCAACCATGTCACTCACACAGCATCAGTAAGTCTAGAAATATATACAAAAGGTGCCACTGGTGTGAAAAAAGATCCTTCTTTTCCTAAAGATTATGCCAGATTTGTTCCCTCCAACACATGTTAGATATTGTATTGTAATGATGCCACTTAATGCTTGCTTTTCAACATTACTTTTGTCTTATATCGTTCTGGTTTTAATATACTTTGTATAGTGTAACTTGTAGTTATTCAATAGTGCATTTCTATTAGCTGACATGAAAATCCACACACTTAAAAACTGTTTAACTGTTCATGACCAAGGTATAAAATAAATCAGTTGATTGATTAATCGCTGAGATATTCTTGTAGGCAATTTGTACAGTTTCACTCATTTAATTACCAAAAAAATGTGAATGTCAAATTAGCTGTACGTTTTTTTTTGTTGTTGTTGGCGGAGGTGGGAAAAGAATGGTATAGAAATAAACAATTACCCATATTGTTTTCATTCCATTGAAATGCACTTTTTTAATGTATGCAGAACCCTCTCTGTTGCTTGAAGCTTTTTGATGAAGTAAAGAATGGGACCCTTGCACCCTACCAAGCAAGTTGGATGTGACTGAGGGTAGGGCTGTGCGTGGGACTGGCTATAAAACCTCTTAGCATACTTCAACCACAAGAGTCAGCTTTGAAAGGTGTAAAATTGTTTGGCACGGGTTTGTTGAGTGCCTAAAATCTGTTGAGGGATAGAATGCAGAAGATGATATATTATTCTACTAAATGATATGAACTTCTGAGTCCCCACTGGGGGAAAGAGGGGGGGGGGGGGAATAAACCTGCAATCGTGTCAATAAGGGGACTAAGTTGAGGTTTATTAAAATTGGATCTGCAAGGGTACTGATATCACAACCTAGCTGTAAACCACAACACAATGTGCCAACTGCAGAGGAAGAATTCTTGATCTTAACATAAAATGTATTTGTTTCAAAAATTCTGCTGTCCTACTTTTCTATTATTTTGTCATTGTAGCTTTACTTTAATCAAAACCTAAGGATTGTCACTACAAAGTTAATATTATTGTAGCAGATCATTTACAGAAGATCTTACAACAGCCCCCCTGAAAGAAACTCAGTCCCTCACCTGCTGTCCTGACTCAGGCGCTTCCCTGCAGTAAGTATCCCCCCTCCCCCCTTTGTCCATCTTTATGCTCGTCATTCCCTGCCCTTCTTATCCAGCACCATACCCTCCACTACTGTATTGTCCAGTCCATCGTGGTAAAGTTAACAGGCTTTAGAATCTAGTGAGTTAAATTAGCAACTACATTCAATGGAGGAGAAAAAATTTACGTCATCTGCTGTAAACAGAAAGTGAAATGACAGATTTCATTAAAAATATTATTCCTAAGTATCTGACTGACATTACCATTTCTTTAAAAATAGAATGAATTAATCAAGTAACATAAAGTGTATTGATCGGCACTCATAGAAAGAAGTGACCTCATCACTAATGTTTATGTATGTCTAATGTATTAACTTGAGCTGTAGCCTAATACCATTCTTGTCTGCTGACAAATATTGTGAGGATTTGCAGTTTTTGCTTTTATGCCAGACAGGATGCTGTTGCCATCTATGTAGCTTATATCTATTGTTATCAACAGTTATTCTCAATTCCAGCTTCATGGCAAATGGGTCATTCCAAAGTTGCTCCATACCTATGCCAGCATAAACCACACAAAATGTCTGTCACTGAAAAGTTTTAACAGACTTCAGTCTCAGCAAAGCCAATAGCATACCAGTTCATAAACTGCATAGGACAGCCAATACAAACATTCTGCCACTAGAAATACAGTTGATTAATGGTAGAAGAACAGTTGATTATTGGTAGAAGAACAGTTGCAACACATCAGCAGTTGCATATGCAATGATATAAGGCACCACAAGTTCTGTGACAACAGGCCATTTACATTCACAACACAAACCCTGCTGGGCACAGCTAAAAAGCATTCTAAATGAAATCCACAGTTCAGAGTGTCACACCATTCACTAAACTATTTAGGCAACAAAACTATATACTTTCAATCCACCACTGATATAAGCTGGAAAAATAATTGTCATAACCAAAACAGTAGACCTGCCCATCAAGTGTACTGGACAAGAACCATCTTTGAGGCAATGAATCTGTCGGCACCAGTCTTCCTCGTGAGTCAAGATTAAAAACATTTCTTTTTTTTAAACTTTTGTATATAAACAGAAGTGGGCATAACTGCATAAAGAGATGACAGATCAGATGGTTTGGACATGTATCAAGATTACCACAGAAAGGTTTTAGAGGGTTTAGCCACCCCTAGAATATTTACTAGGAGCTTAAATGCTGTATAGTTCTCTTTTTTTAAGTCATACATTAAGTCACAAACTTATATATTATTGTTATAACACACTTAAACAAGGCTTAAGCTCCTTGAGGCCTCTCCCTAAAATGTATGGGACTCTGGTTCTCCTCCACCCCCCCCCCCCCTTTTTTTCCAAAAAGATTTTTTTGTGGAGGCGTCCCAGACAGGAACTCTATTACAAAGTCATACATAGCCAAGTAACATACTTGGTTAATCACATTCACACTCAAAAAAAAAAGTAAATACAGGTGTTTACATTAGTTTAAAGTTGCCGTGAAAGTTATTTTTGATTCTTCCAACTCAATGAGAAATATCTGCTGTCTGCTTTTGAGTTGCCCTAGATAAAGCAGCAATTGTTTGCTTTTTGATGCCAGATTGTAAATGTTGCTTTTTTGCACCTAATAAAGAAATAGTGAATAGTTCTTTTTGACATTTGATCGTTTGTATGTCTGATTATTTGCTTATGCGTGAGAGAGAGAGAGAGAGGGGGGGGGGGTGACAAGTGGTTCTCTTTGTAAACAATCTGCTGTAGTCTTCCGTCAACGCTCTCATCGGTGAAAATTCAGACGAAGCAGATGCAATAATCTATACAGACGGATCCGTTATACGCCAAAGAAGAAGCGCATGGGCATTTACAGCACGCTCAGCGGGCAGAACAGTCAAAGAAGCCAACGGCGCCTTCTCCATGACAACCAGCAGCATGACGATGGAGGTGATGGCAGTGACACAAGCGCTTGCCTGGCTTGAAACACAAAAATACACCCGCGTGTGTATACTCAGTGATTCAATGAGTATGATCCGGAGGGTTCAGGCAGGTTCAGTGCGAAGACAATGGCTTGAATCATTACAGAAATCCACTGTTCGTGGAGTCACCTTTATTTTTGTTCCGGGACACGCAGGCGTCGATGGAAATGAAAGAGCTGACAGGTTGGCTGGATCCGCTATCACTACCGACGGTCAGCCTATGGATCATGCTGATATTATCAATGCCCTCAGAGAAATGGGAAGAATAGAGGACTTTGGTGGCAGTGAATCCACATCACTCGCCAGAATGGCAGACTTGGGAATTAAGATCGGCACAGCAAAAAACGAGACGCACACCAGCTACGCCAGAAGACTTGTTAATCAACATAGAACTGGTACTATTAGCCATCGGACGTTGGGGTTCATACTGAGGGGAGGATCTGAGTACCTATGGACATGTCCGGAGTGCAATGAGGATAACCCAACTAACTAACTAAGTCTTCCTTCCATGATGATGGTGGTACGCAGTCTGTACCAGTGTTTTACATTCCTTAACCCGAAGAACTTTAAAATACGCCTGAAATAAGTATAGCTTTAAGAATATAGTACAATGTTTCTCTGTCAACTGAAGTGAGAGTATAGTTCTCAAGATCTATGTGGAGACAACAACTGATAAACGAAAGGGAATCAACGACATGCAGGTGACGTTAGGTCCTCTTTTTCCCCCCCCTGTCCAGGCTGCTACACAAAAGCCGAACCTTCCTAGATCCTAAAATCTCAGTCGTGAATCCTAGAAGTCCCGTTTGATGTCCAAAGAGGTTACAATTGCGGTACCTGTAAGGGCGACAACAATCTCCAGTAGCATGCAGTTTTGTGTTGACAAAGATGAACTGTACGATAAATTTGTGAAAAACTGGTTTTATAGAAGTTTACGGTATTTATCATGGAATCAAGGCCGAAGGGTTGTGATATCCATACCCAACCAAAGGGTTAAGAACTCATGGTTTCCGTATATTTACAACAACAAAAACAACAACAACAAAATAGAAGTACAAGCAGCCATATTTTTAATTTAATTCAAAGGAAAAATAACAAATTTACAGTGAGAACTGATTACCTCCATCAGTAGAAGTGGCATTTAGCCCTTCAGGATTACGACATTGACTAAATATATTATCTGAAACGAAGGGCAGTACAATAGACATAAAACAGGTTGTTGACTGAGTAAAGAACCTCTATCATACTGCAACGTTTAGTTTGAGAGCTGAGGTAGACTCACTCAAAACAGATTTCGTTAGCTTAAAAACCAGCTGCACAGACGTGTCGTGACTGTAAACGACTCACAAAGCATGAAAATTGGTGACACTTATATTTCGTGCAGAGTGGCAAGCATCGCTCTCACTGGTCCCAGCTAGTTAGGGTTCCTTGGGTATTTTTTCCACATGATACAGGAGTTTTGGGAAAACTACTACTATATACTGGTACCAACAGAACTGGAACTCTTCACTGGCTGCTGGAGATGGTGATGGAGCGCTTGTGAGAATGTCCCCAGTGCTGTGCTGTATCTCAAACCTCAAGAACCTGTACATCGGCTTTGTCGCGTCAGTCACATAGTGCTAGACCAGGTCCTGGCTAGACCTATAATTTTATAGTCCAATCGGCACTTAGCTGATGATGTGACCAACATCAGGCAGGCCGCCTTTACTTTCCAGGAACATTTTTTTTTGGCTTGGTCGACCTGCCAAAGGTTGATTTCAAAGAAAATAAAAATATGTCTTGATGCAGATTAAGCTCCAGACTTTCGTCATGCAGGTCTCTAGCCGCTAAACTAACATAAACTAGAAGAAAAATTCTGCAATCAGTTCAGCCAGTGAAGCAATTCGTCTTGCTAGTATATTATTTTGGCTTGCCTCCGTGAAAACACCTGGAATTAGCGGTTTCAGTTGTCTGGCAGAAGTGGATGACAAGTAACGGCGCCTTTCATATTTGATCGTTAATTATTAATTTTCCATATAATTGGAACCTGAATTACTAACTGACGAAAGATTACATTCGTAGTCCAAAAATCGCTAAAAATGTTTTCAGTGTCACCAAGGTTTCTACCGTACAACATCGAAGATCTGCTGCGGCTGGCCGACGAACTGACGGAGAGGTACCCGGCTCAGCGTCCATCGTCCGGCGACGGTTACAACTTGACTCCTGCCGCCTCTCGTCTGGCTTTAGCCCGCCATGGGGATTCTGAGGTGAAGACTAGAAACAAGTCCAATTTATACTTTTTTTCATATTCTGCACACTTCTTTAATTTTTCTATTATTTCTCCCCTACAGTCTGCCTTTTCGACTTTTTGTGTAACCTCTGGGATTCTGACCTACGATCTGAAATTGATTAGCTGCCGCTCTTTTTCTTTCCATACCTGTTCTGCTTCTGGGGTTAACCATCGAACCTGCATAAAAGTTTAGCTGTTTTGTTTTTTAAACCTCCTGTCAGAAGCGTCCAAGATGGATGTTAGTCCACTCATGCTTTAAAGTCTTGCATGTTATCATAGCCTTTATTCAAAAATAAAGACTGGGCATGGTTGATAGTCACTCCCATGATCACACAGGGCAGTCCATTTTGTGCCCAGTACTGCTGACTTGTATCTATACCGGGTAAACATTGATATTAATTATCGTTTACCCGGTATAGATACAAGTCAGCAGTACTGGGCACAAAATGGACTGCCCTGTGTGATCTTGGGAGTGACTATCAACCATGCCCAGTCTTTATTTTTGACTGCGCAGGTCTTTCAACCGTGGCTGCATAAAAATATTAATTGATTCATATGTATGTGACTTTGTAAATCACTTTATTCGAGGAGAGTGCAAAGGCGTTTTAGACCTTCTAGTCAAACTAGCATTGTGCTCTGAAAATCGTGGATGTTATTTGGTTCACAAATGTTTGTTTTTTCTTCCTGAGACCCGAGCCAGCCATAGATGAATGCTATTGGAAGGACATGGAAAGAGCTGCAGGGGGTGGCAACAGATATGATGAATTGGATGAGGGTCTGTTTCAGCTGGAGAAAATGTCAGACAAAGAGTACAAGCCTGGTGATCTCAACTGGATATAAACAGTCATGACTGAATTTAGTCCGGAAATAATCCAGCCTGATTGAATTTAATCTAGATAAAAATCCAGCCTGATTGAATATATTGTTCATGACTTTGCACTATCTTTTATTACTGGATACTACGTGTTACTTGTTGTCCGTGTCGACATCCTAGCACAGTGCTCCGACCCATTCGTGCTCCGTCTCCGATGCAGCGGCCACCTCAGTGTCTCCATGCTCAACGTATCCAGTAGGACCGAATAAAATCTAGCACAGGCCGACATAAATCTTTTCTGAACGCACATAATTGTGCTCATGACTGGATATTATCTGGCATGACTGGGTATAATCTGGCATGACTGGGTATAATCTGGCATGACTGGGTATATAATCTGGCATGACTGGGTATAATCTGGCATGACTGGGTATAATCTGGCATGACTGGGTATAATCTGGCATGACTGGGTATAATCTGGCATGACTGGGTATAATCTGGCATGACTGGGTATAATCTGGCACGACTGGGTATAATCTGGCATGACTGGGTATAATCTGGCATGACTGGGTATAATCTGGCATGGGTGAAAATAGTCTAGCATCACTGAAGGTATGAGGGACAGTCAGACAGTAATGGCTCCTGTCTTTTTTTTTTTTTTTGGGTGTAATTCTACGTAAATACTGTAACCTTATGCAGTTTATAATTTTAACATACCGCCGGGTAATACTGGATGAACTGATTGTCTGGACACTGCCATTACTAATGGTCAGTAGGGAGTACATTTCATCCAGTATTAGCCGACGGTCAGCATGAATGTTCCATCAGAATAACAATGCAACAAGGCAGGCTGGATGCCTCATCTCTATTAAGTATAGAAACACATGTATTACATAAGATTAGTTATAGCATCACCTCAAAGACTTGCCAATAAAAAAAAATTTGTAGACAATATTTCAAATTTAAAAACAGAGCAAGTTTACAAAAATTGACATTATTTCCATCTTACTATGAGTTTTGTTTAATTTCAATTAATATAATTTTTTAATAGTTCACTATTGTTTATCTTTTGAATTAAATGTATGGGGAAACTAGTGCTGTCTTAACATATGGGTCTACTGGGCACTTACCCGTCAGCACCATGGGCTAATCTGTGTATATCATATAATCATTGACATTTAATTACTGTTAGTGGCTGGTTTTCCCAGGGGCCCATGTTGTTTGTCCATTACGAGTAATGAAGACCACTTTCATCCAAAGTAGTAATGATCAATCATAATGTGTACGAAGGTGGCTTATTAGTCCAATATGAGACAGTAAAGTTCTTGACAGTGCGGACAACATATAAAAGGTGTGGGATTAGCAGTACGATTCTTTCTAGTCTGCCTCCGTTTTTCTGTCTGTGCAACCTCTGCTGCCTGGCTGGCCGATGCGCCATGTCTGAGGGACGTACGCCATCCAGAACGGTCTTGTGCAGTAGCCTCCTACGTCACTGTGTTGATGCCAACAGAATTGAGAGCAGTCTTCAGAGTCTCCTCATAGCCCTTTTTTTGCCCTCGCCGGCACCTCTTCCCTTTCTGGAGCTCGCCATAAAATAACTCTCTTTGGGAGGCGATAGTCTGGCTTGCGGGTTAGGTTACCAGCCCAACGCAGCTGACAATTCTTCAGTATCGTGTGGATGCTAGGCAGGTTTTCCCTATCAAGAACCACAGTATTTGGGATCGTATCTTGCCATTTGATTTTGAGCAGCTTTCTGAAACAGGTTGTATGAAACTGATTCAACTTTTTAGCATGACGCTTATACACAGTCCAAGTTTTACAAGCGTAGAGTAGTACTGGAAGAATTACAGCTTTGTTAACCTTTAGTTTGGTCAGCATGGAGATATCACTTCTGTTCCAGACACTGGTATAAAGTCTGCGGAAACTGCTGCTGGCCTTTGAGATTCTAACATTGATCTCATCGTCGATATTGACTCTCTGAGATAGGGTACTGCCAAGATAAGTGAATCTATCGACTACATTTAGCTTTTGATCATTTACGGTGATAGTGGGATCGGAGTAATTTTTTTCTAGGAGCTGGTTGATAGATAACAACAGTTTTATCAGTGTTGATAGTTAGCCCGAAGTTGGTACAGGCTTCAGAAAAACTATTTATGATGTGCTGCATACTAGCCTCAGAAGTGGAGTTTAGAGCGCAGTCGTCAGCAAATAAAAGGTTTCTGATTGAAGTTGTTTTAGTTTTTGATTTAGCTCGAAGTCCCCTCAAATTAAACAAGCTGCCATCGGTACGGTAATTTAAAGCAATTCCTGGATCGTCATCATTAGAGGCATTGACTTGAAAAGCAGTGTAGCAAATGTCATACTAAACAAGGTTGGCGCAAGCACACATCCTTGCTTTACGCCATTTGAGACAGGGAAAGTGTCCGACAGTTTTCCCTTCCCCAGCACTCTGTCCTGCATACCTTCATTGAACTGCTGTACAATCCTGTATCAAAGGCCTTTGTGAGGTCTATGAAGGTAGAACAGAGGTAGCAGTTTTGTTCTGGACACTTTTCCTGGAGCTGGCGAGCAGCAAAAATCTTGTCAATGGTCCCTCGCTCTTTTCGGTAGCCACACTGGCTCTCAGGCAGGAGGTCTTGATCAAGATGCACCGTAAGACGGTTGAGGTGAATTCTAGCTAGGATTTTACCAGCAATAGACGAAAGAGAGATTCCATGGTGATTGTCAAATACCTGACGGTTTCCTTTACGTTTATACAAATGTGTGATTGTTACATCTTTGAAGTCTTGTGGAAGTATTTCTTGCTGCGATATAAGTTGGAATATTTGGTGTAATTTTTCAGTGAGGACATTACCACCTTTTTTTTTTTTTTTTTTTTGAAAACTTGTGCGAGTATCGCATCAAGACCAGGAGCCTTACCTCTAGACCGTTGATCAATGGCTTTCTTGGTCTCCAGAAGAGTTAGTGTTTCATCTAAGGCTGCAATTATAGGGACCTGGGGCAAACTGTATAGCTTCTTCGTTTATGGATGACTGTAGGTTCAGGACGTTACTGAAGTGTTCAGCCCAGCGTTTGGGGATTGCATGGTTATCAGTGAGTAGTGTATTTCCATCTTTGCTGAGAAGGAGACAGGATGATGGTGGCCTAGGTCCATATACTGTTTTTAAAGCATCATCGAAATTTTTCATGTCGTGCATGTCTGTAAAACTTGAATCTCATCAGCTTTACTACTTAGCCTCAAGTCTCGCATCTGTCGAAGTTTGGTCTGGACAGTTCTTTTAATATTATTGAAGGAGTCCTTTTTTTTAATTGAATTTGGGTCACTTAACAAAGCTTTATAGATGCGGTGCCATTAGTAAATGCTGAATATCTTCTGAGTTTTCATCAAACCAATCCTGGTGTTTTCTTGTAACCAGCCCTAGTGTCTCTAAAGCTGTGCTGTAGATCAAATCTCTCAGGGTGGTCCATGTATCCTCCATAATTGGGCCGTCGAAGGAAATGGATTGTAGACGATAATAGCAGGATGAAAGTGACTTGCGCAAGGACTTGGATTTAAGTGAGGAAGAGTTGCGCAATTCATCGACCTCACTCTGTCGCCTTTGTCCATCTTGATCCAATGGCAGGACAATGTCAAGGCGATTGGAAATTGACCTAGGTGCAGTGGATGACCAAGGCAAGCAGGGGCCCATAATGCGACAAGCAGAGCCCATAATACGGTTAAGAAGGCTTTAAATAAAAGGCGGCACTGAAATCTTTTAAATGCTTAGGGCATCAAAGGGCCTGGACAAAACCTAGGATACATTATTATAACATAGCATGACTGGGTATATTCCAGCATGACTGGATACAACCTCGCATGATTTGATATAAGCTAGCTTGAATTCACTAAGCACTGTCTAGAAAACTGGACAAGAGAGAAAGAAAAAACAAGGTTGGGGGGAGGGGTGAATGGGGGCGCGCACAGAGGAACCGCCGAACGTTTTGTTTGACCTGAGTTTTATCGATGGACGCCACAAAGAAAGCAATCCGAAACAAAATCAATCCACGAACAGGAAAGTAGTCTGAATAACTGTGTATGTTGAAAAATAAAATAGGATATAATCTCTGACTGGATAATATCTAGTATGAATGAAAATAATTTTGCATGACTGGATATAATCTTGTATGACTGGATATAATCTTGCATGACTGGAGATAATCTAGCATGACTGGGTATAATCTTGTGTGAATGGATATAATCTTGCATGACTGGATATAATCTAGCATAACTGGATATAATCTTGCATGACTGGATATAATTTTGAATGACTAGATATAATTTACTATGATAGGACATAATTTTGCATGACCGAATATAATCTACATTGACTGAGATTTCCTTTGTGGGAAGGTGCACAACACGGACAAGGAGTTTCGTATACGCCTGGATCTTCACCACTACTCCCCAGAGGAGGTGAGGATTACCTGTGACAACCTGAGGATTACTATCAACGCCAAACATGAGGAGCGACAGGATGACCATGGTTATGTGTCCAGGGAGATAACCCGTACATACAGACTGCCGGCGGTAAGATGTTAATGGCTAATACTATGTGTATGTGAGAAATTGTCCACTGTGAGCAAATGATAGTAGCCCCATATATTTAAAGATCTATCAGCATTTAGATGCTGAGGCTAGTGTCATGTTTGTCTTCTTTACTTCCCTGTGCATTTCCTGGTGTCAGTTATATGCTGGGAGATTGTTCAATTTTTTTTAAACACACCTAGAGAGTTATTGGAACCACTTACATGCCAGCACACTCATAAATGCTACATTTCTGGATACAAAGCTTATAAAAAATAGTTTTTTTTTCCTGTTACTATTACGGGCCTTTAGTTTATCTAACAAAGTGTCTGCCATAAATAAGACCTAACCGGAAAATTCACAGCATCATTATTTTTTTTTTTCAGGATGCACGTAATATAAGTTCTTCGCTTCCTCTTTTACCTCTTCATGTTTCAAGGGGGATATAGGGTTCTGCCTCTTCCTCTTCTGTCCGCCTCGACCTTAGACACATCGTGCTGTTGTAGTTTCTCTGACGTTATCTTTCCTCAGTCTTGTTCTTGGCCTACCTCATGATCATTGTCCTTTTTTTTCTGGCATCACATGACATTTCCTCAAGTGGGCAAATCATTTGATTTGCTGCCTTTGTATGGAATTAGAATTGGATCTGTGCCGACTTTTTTCTCTTATGACCTCATTCCTGATTTTGTTTCTTCTAGTCATCCCTTCAGACCTTTTCGGAAAACTCATTCCTTGCTACTAATTTTCGTTTCTGATTTGTGGTGAGTAACCGTCTTGTCTCGGAAGCTGAAATATTTTGGTCTTATCAGGCGGATTGGGAAAAGCAACAGCGGAAGGCATGGTTCCAGGAAGGAGTGGCAGGAGCCGACCAGCACTGATGGGCAAGGATGCAAGTGACTCATTGAATATGAAAGTACACGAGCTGGAAGAGCTGTCGAGAGACCTGTTTTTTTTTCCCCAGGCAGACTGTGACTAGAGCGACGTTCTGCAAAGGACCTGCTACATGATGATAATGACAATGAATATTAGCCCCACCATAAATATAAGCCCTAGTAAAGATCATCAGCGGTAAGTAAAAACAGTCGGCGTGATGCTGACCACATTACCCATCCAGTGCCGGTTGGTCTGTAAAAATATGGGACGCTTTTTCCATATACCGTATGCGCCTAAGGCGTGAAAGGGGATCTTTACTTTTTCGGACAAAACCCATCTAAGGCAATGAATTTTGTGCATGTGAGTTTTCTTAGCTTTAACAGACCATAGCCTACAGTACCTGCTTTTTTTTTTAAACTACAGTGTAATTGTCAATGCTGCAACGTGTGCCAGTTACCTCCTCTTTCCTGCCCCTATCAAAAAAAGTCATTAACCAAACTGGGTGTCCAAGAAATCATAGAGAAATAAAATTTTAAGAAATCAATGGTTTTCTCCAGAATCACATCAGATGGTATCTGGAATTTTCTTAGTGGGAGATACTAAAACATCTGCCATGAATCTCCAACAGTTAGAGAAGGTTTAAAATATATTCTAAATGAGGGTGAAAATAACCACTCGTTGGCATTCAGTGCACTAACCACTATCAAGGTTCCCTGAAAATAAGACCCGGTCTTATATTAATATTTGCTCTAAAATATGCATTAGGGTTTATTTACAGGGGATATATATTTGTTATGTACAGCATTCCATTTTTTAATGTTACTGATTTAAAGCAAGAGTCATTTTTTCTTTTAATTTAATACATCATTTGTGTTGTTTATTAAAATATTATTTGACTTTTGTCATTAGGATGTTGATGTTAGATCTGTTGCATCTTCCATGAACACACATGGAGTTCTCAACATCAGGATTGCCAAGAAGGCAATCCAAGCTCCAACAGAGATTCCTGTGGCCGTTGAGATCATGTAACTTAACAGTGCAGCTCAATGATGTTGAGACAGTTGTTTTCGTTTCTACCGGCCGATTCTAGCTTTTGTGTTTCACATTTTTTAATTAAGGTTATTATGTTGAGACAACATGTGAAGAGTTTTGGCTGTTTGGCTCCACAGAACCAGAATTCTAAAGGAATATTTAGAAGTATTCTTTAAGCAGTTTACTAACATGTGGTTACTTTAAAACTAACGTAAATTTGCAGTAATAAAGACGGCAGCATGATATATCAGTATAAAATGTAACAAAACTATACAGCTACACATTAACTCTTTCTGTCTTAAACAATTGATTCTTCAGCAGATCATTCTGTTGCAGAATAATTCAAGCTAAGAATATCAGTGTCTTGGCTTAAAGAAGTTAAAATAATGTAGGCATAGAGAAGACATGTTTGAAGTAAATTTTAGACCAAATAAATAAATGTAAGAGGGATTAGACAGGAGATAAGAAATCATGTAATACTATGTTAACAGCTGCGTGGAGGAGATGCTTGGATATTTAACAAGTTAAAGACTAGATTTCTTTAGCAGACACTATTTATTAGAATAACCCTAATAAAAACAAAGAAAGCTAAGTAAACTATACTAAAACTTATTTTATGAAAATAAAAGCATATTTTAAAAAACAATCCGGGCTTTTTATGCAGATATTTTACTAGAATACGGGAAAACAGAGGTAGACAATTAATAAAATGTAACAAATAGCCGAGGATGAGATCCTATGAAAGCTATATTTGATTTATCTCAGGAGCACATGCATCTTCCCTAGATGTTATATATTTATTAACCAAAGCGCATAAATTATAATGCATTGTGTGGTGTTCATCATCATCAAGTGCCTTGCCGACTGGCGTGAAGGATCATGCCTCTCCACAATCTGCTATCCGCAACTGCGTGTATCAGTTCGTATGTAGACACCCCTCCATGACATGACAAAAGGCTGTCAAGAATCTTCTCGTGCTGTCTTCCTTTGTCTCTCTTTCCACAAATCTTTCTAACGGTCACATGTTCCATTTTTCGGCTTGTCATAACATGACCAAAAAACGATGACTTGTCTTTTTCTGATGTTTGTGATAAGTTGTCTTCAAGCACTCGCCTCTTTCAAAACACCTGGGTGGCTCTTCTGAGCTGTCCTAAAAATTCTAAGGATTCTTCTGTAGAACCTCATATTCGCGGCCTCGAAATATTGTTCAGCCTGTTTAATAATTCTCCAGGATTCCCAGCCACATGTGAAAACTGGCTTCATAACATGCGGAAATTTTTTTTCCTAACCTCCAGTAACATGGATTTTTTGCATGTGGTGTTATTCATATTTTTTTGGATTACATTGGCCCAATAGCAGCAAGAGTATAAATTTTAGTTTAAATAATCGTATAAATAGCCAGCTTATTAACTGAAATTGTTGAGCATTTCTGTTTGTTAATTTTAAATTACTGAATAACAGAAAAAATGTTACACATTTACAGTTCAGTTGTTTAATAAAGGACATTTCATGACCATTCATGTTTTTATGAGTGATTATGCTTGGTTCATAGTTTGTACACATTTTCACACGTTTCTGTTTTAGATTAGATTATGTTTATCTGGCATAGTTGCGTATTTTTGTTATAAACAATGAACAGCCATGAAGAAGTGCTCATGTATTGTTTAAAAAAATGTATTGTGTTTGGTGTCATTGTGAGGAAATGAAACATCTACGGTGAAGAACCCATGTGTGATAAAATGAAACATCTATGGTGAAGTACCCATGTGTGATGAAATGAAACATCTATTGTGAAGTACCCATTTGTGATGAAATGAAACATCTATGATGAAGAACCCATGTGTGATGAAATAAAACACTCATGGTTAAGTATCCATGTGTGATGAAATTAAACATCTATGATGGAGTTCCCATGTGTGATGAAATAAAACACTCATGGTTAAGTATCCATGTGTGATGAAATTAAACATCTATGATGGAGTTCTCCTATGAAACATTTGGTGAATATCTGTGTGTGATAAGATGAAACGTTATTTGTGGTGGAGTACCCAGCTGTGATGAGATGAAACGTTGTGTGGTGTGGAGTACTCATGTGTGATGAAATGAAATATCTATGGTGAAGTACCCATGTGTGATGAAATGAAACATGTATGGTGAAGTACCCATGTGTAAGGATCACATAAGCCACATTTTTTTTTACTGACAAACTATAATTGTGAAACCAAAGCAAATCTACTCATGGTAACTGACTGAGAATTTGGGTTATTATTTCTCCATTGTTTATTACTGAAGACACTGCCGGAGCATAATATACGATCTCTGTAGCCGCCAAAAACATTCTTGTTATTAAGTTTTAAAAAAAATCTATATGACAAAATCTTTTCTTGCAGGAAGTAGATGGTCACCCTAATAGTGCCTGCTTGCTAAGGAAGAGGCAATGGATGTCCTGGAGGAGTCCATACGCCTTCTGCCCCTCTTACTGCACGATAGATTTCAATTGTCATTGAAGTCTCCTTGAATCCCATGGTATAAGCACTAGTCTCTTGATTACATGATACGTTTGCATCGCCAAGTGCCTCAAAATTCGGGTAGCAAGATAAACTGCAAATCTCACCCAACTGTCCAGCATCAGATTATTTTCCATTTGCTTCAGGGAATTCACTGTTATATCCCATGACCCAGGCACAAGACATTCAGTCACATGAAAACATGGTTGCGTTTTCGGTTTCTTTACCACTTGTGCTGCCCCCTGATCTGCAATCCACATCAAACATTCATGCATCAGTGTCTTGGACTATTGGGACCACAAAAACCAGCAGGACAAAAGAATGGGCATGCATAGTGGCCACAAAACAAGCCTTTGGGACGGTAACAGTTTAGCTCATAACCATGTCCCTATTGCTGAGCATCGCAGACAGTCTCAGTAAATTTCAACTTTCCAGTGTCGAAAACCATTGCCGGGTTGTTGATCGACACAGCTATCTTCTGAATATTTATGGGAGATTGTGTAATTATCCTTGGGTTGTCTCCTATTACATTACAAAGATTGTCAGACTCACGAGAACCTGTACTTTAAATCCCAAAAGTCGATGCATCTTAGAAAATACTATATTGTAAATGACGTATCTGTTGACACTTCACAGTCTTGACAAAGTCCCACTCCATGTGGTGAGGGAATCATTCAGGGTGAGTTTGTTTCTAGTATGGCTGCAGCTCGAGCCGGTGAGAACTTTTGATCTCTGTTGCAGTCAAAGCTTTACCTGCTGTTAATCTCCAGCCACTTAACTATGTGTAGTATCTTGTGTTGCATTTTACTTCAGAGATATAGTATGACCTCCTCTGATGTAGACTGGGCAGAGATGACCAAAGGAACTGCCTTCTACAGAGTTAGTAGGTCTGTGACAGGTCACAGGTATGTCCAGGATTGTGCTGTCCACGAACTGCTTCCGGTTGTTGATACTTGCAACACTGGACCACTTTTCAGAGAATGAGACTGGTAGTATGGCAGTAGGACTGGATCTTGAGGATGCTTTTAACAGAGTGAGATACGACATCTTAATGACTGCACTGAGGGAGAAAGAGGTCAATCCATGGCTGGGGAATTGGGTTGCAGCTGTCCTGTATTCACGTCGGGTTGCTCTCCGACTGGGCTCATGGACCTCTGAACCATGCACTTTGGCCCCAGGACTGCCACAGGATTCCGCCATCTCGCCTGTGCTTTTCAACGTGTATACAAGCAAGATTGCAAGCCTAGAAGCACCAGGAGTTGAAAGGATACTGACTTTTGCGGATGATATACTTGCATATAGGCAGGGGGAAGAGAGGGAACAAACAGCTCGGGAGCTACAAGTGACAGTAGACAAAGTGACTGCGTAGTGTACAGAAATGAAGGCTGTCGTCCACCCGGAAAAGGCGTCTGTTTTGTGGTGTTCTCTGGACAACAGAATCGCTAAAGGTAATGTCTCAAGTCTCACGATAGATGGTAGAGACGTCAACAGAGAGAGCAAACTGAAGTATCTGGGAATTACATTTGACAGGAGCCTGTCATTTAAGTACCATGTGGAGAGTGTTGTGACGAGATGCCAAAAAAGACTTAGTGCACTTAAGACTATGGCTGCAATTGACATAGAGCAGGAAATGCTTTTCACACTATATCAGCACCTGATCCTGTCAGTGTTGGATTATGGACTGGGACTGCTTACCGTCTCAAAGAGTCAGATGGACAAACTAGAGCGCATACAGAACGCGGCTATGCGGGTCATTCTGGGTTGCACCAGAGACACCCCTGTTGTGTATGCGATACATCCTTGGTTTGCTGACGGTTGCAGGTAGGCACAAGGTGATGCAGGCGAAGTCATAACTCAGGGTAGCTGCAGACACAGACCACCCTCTGCATGAAGCTCTGGGTGCAGTTAAGGGTCAGCGGCTGGTAAGAGGGAGGTCATGGATGGCTCAGGAAGAAGACACAATCAGACAGGTTTGCATCCTTGAGAACATTAGGCGAGGAGAGAAGTGGGTCAAAGTGCCACCTGAGCAGTCAGACTTGTGTAGAGTCATAATCACGCTAAGCCGGGAATGCAGAGACTGGCCAGCAGGTGCCACAGAGGTGGAAATTCAGCAATTAATTCAAGATAATGCTCGCTCAGAGAATTTGATCATTTACACAGACGGTTCAGTGTCAAGAGGCAAAACAAGTGCTTGGGGCTTTTTAGCAAAAGTTAATGGTTGACGTTTGGTGCAGGAGAGCCTAGCATATGATACCACAACATCCAGCTTAAGAATGGAGGTGGAGGCAGTCACTGCAGCTTTCCACTGGCTAGAGAACACGACACACATTGTAATTGTAACTGATTCAGAAAGCATGCTGAGGAAGATCAGAACAGGTATGCTTCGTGCAGAGTGGCATGCTTCGCTGCGGAGGACACGAGTGAGGAGTATTGTCTGGATTTTTTCGCCGGGTCACGCCGGTGTGTTGGAAAATGAACAGGCGGATAGACTGGCCAGCTCTGCACAACTTGGTGGAATACTGCTACATGATAGGGCAGACGTGGTTAGTGCCTTGTGGGAGAGCGTGTACAATGCGGAGGAGCAGATGGATCACCACAGTCTGGTGAGATTGATGCAGTTGGGGGTGACGAGAGGTTCTGGCAGAAGCTCAAGGCTCAGAGGAAAGGCAAGACGGACGTTAAATCAGAAAGCTACTGGCACCATTAGTATCGGAACTCTTCACTGGCTGCTGAAGATGGGGACGGAGCACTTATGGGAATGCCCAGAGTGCTGTGATGTCGGTTCTTGAATCAAATCAAATCAGAGAATGAGAGTGACAAGTCTTTGAGGCCATCTGAACCCTGTTCTATCAGTATGGCTCTGAGCCAGGTAGGTGACAGGAAGTGATTCGATTAACTTCATCGTAACCATGTTTTGCTGCCTGCCAGACATGTACTGTCATTGCTGTCTACAACAGCTGTGTCAATTACTGTGCGGTAAGCTAGATCGGCATACTAAACCATATTTCGTGAAATGTTTGTATGCCTGCACACTTTTCAGCATCACGCCAATCACTAGCACATTGAGAGAAGTCTTGGATGGCACAACAAGATGTGTCTATCGGGGGGGGGGGGGGGGGGATTAGCCTGTCAACTCAAAATGCAGAGCTGTGAGAGTTCTAATTACACTTGGCAGCAAGTGTCCAGCAGAATCAGAAATGCAAGAATTGATTCCTTATAATTCCCATGCAGGTGATGTGATTAACTAAACAGATGGTTCTGTGTTGAGACAAAAGAAGAGTGTAGGGCGAAAAGCGAATGGATGACACATAGCACAACAAAGTAAGATTATGATCTACAACGTCTAATTGGTTAATCGAAGGGGAGGCAGTTACATTATGAATTATACATTTATGCTTGACAAGCTAGATGTGGTCAAGGCCCTTCGGCGGCAAGTGAACAATGCAGACATGAATCAATCATTATGGTCTGGAGAGAATGGTACAGCTGGGGATTTTGCTGTCACTCTACATGTAAAACAAGATGGACATACAATCAAACTACTAATGGCACTATAGACATTTGAACTTTTCACTGGCTGCTGAAGATGGGGGACGGAGAATGTCCTGAGCGTTGCCACGTCAATTCTTAGCTCAACACTATTTATTGTTTTGTCAGGACATTTTCGTCAAATAAATTTATACTGTATTCTTGTTGCGTCTAGTATTGAACCGACTACAATTTTGTGGACAACGTAGAAACTTCAGTTTTGCTACTTTAGCTAATAAATTTGGATTTAACTAATGAAAATTCTAAATGGATGCAGGCACCAACATATCGTGGCAGTGTTGTTTGCTGAATTTTGTGTAGAAATCTATGGGAAATCCCGATTCAGCCAATGAATGTAATTGAAATTAGGTACCGCTGCCTAAATATTTCATTTTTTGGCAGTTTCATCACATTTTTTATTTTATTTCTGGCATGGTAACTTTATCATCTTTCTGTTTACTCTGATAAAGTTCAGAGCTTAGTTCTACTGCCTTTTCACAATGGCTGCTTAAGATCTCACAGCACTCTCTCATCATAATGGCACACTGAAATTGATAAAGCCTGCCATCATTTGTGTGATTTCACGACTTTGCATTTTTCACCTTGAATCAAGGTCTTCCCTATTGAGTTCTAGGGCCCCTTTAGGAAAAAACGAATTGACTGCCTCCCCAAAAAAGCATATCGTAAGAATCGACTAGCTGGAGGCTTCCTTCAAAGTAATCCGTCCCAATATAAGATTACTTTTTTTTTTGTTACTTGCGTCCGGGTGATTCTCATCTGAATGGTAGCAAGTGTTTATCGCCCGTGCGGTCCTGATGGGGTTGAACATCAGTCAGCCAATCTGAAGTGAGTGCATGTGCTTGAGAGGCAAGGAACCAGCAATCTTCATACATATAAGTCAGATTCTAAAACCGTTTGTGCGTGCAACATTCAGATTCTGGAACTGACTGAAGTCCAGAGGTGGCTGGACAACCGGAACTTTCTGCTGGAGCTTACAGCTAAGAATAGGAAGAAGAATCAAGGTCTTATTAAACGAGTATATAAGACAACTGTGAAATACAGCTGAGTACTTCTATTTCGATTGTTCAAGCTGTAAAAAGCTGAAATATTTTTTAGTTCTGTACTTTGCCCAAAGCTTGTAACTGCAATTTCACTGTCCCATAAAATTTTGCTGATCTGTATCCGTACTTAGTAAAGTGGCTGGCAAAACAGCACTAATTCACTAGTCTTGTTGCCCTCAATCCTCAGGCACTGCCCTACATCACTCTAAACGATACAGGCAGTTTCATTCAGTAAAGGGTCCTTTCCTGCAGCGAGAAGCACAGAACATATTGTGCTAGTTCCATATTTGTATAGACTATCTGCAAATGCAGGCTGTGGTCAACATCAAGCTTGCTGGTCTGTACTCTAGCACCAGTTTTTTTTTTTTTTTTTGGTCTTTCTTTTTTTTTAAACACACAAAACACATTGTGAACCATTTGTCTAAAGGCTTTTGTATTGAAATGCTACAGAAAAATTCACAGATTATTGAACCTAAAGAAAAAGAATGATATTCTGCAAGAGGTAAATATCAAAGAAAACTGGCTCACACACAGACAGCATCAGGTCTTAGAAACAGAGATATGTTAACCACTACAATAGAGAGAACAGTAATGGAAGATGAGGTTCCTGGAAGAGACAGGTGGACATAAGATATTAAAAATACCTAGAAAATGAGGTAGCGGTGACCAATAATCTATCCTGTGGTTGTACTTGGTTTCCACTACATGATGAACACATAACACACAAATATTTTTGTCACATTTATTGTCAACACAGCTTTAGATGAGATAATGACAGTGGGATATCTAAACTCATTCACACACACTTAGGTGAAATGGTGTATCTTGCTCATTCATGCATGCCTGTAGGTGAGTTAATAATAGTCAAGTATCTCATTGGTTCTCACATTTAGGTGAGATAGTGTTAGGTCTCAACAGTTTACTAATTCTCACACATTTAGGTGAGATGGTGTTATATTTTAATAGTTCACTCATTCATACACAGGTGAGATAGATGTTATACATCAACAGTTCACCCATTCACACACAAAAGAGGTTGATTTGACTGCTGGCTGTGTGATGTGGCTGTTATATCTTGCTGCTGGTAGAAAACAACGCCAGCAACCCGGCTGCTGACCCCACTGCCAGGGAATAGTTTCTGGTATTAGTTAAAGAAAATGTCAATATCATCAACCGCTGAAATATGACAGTTCACAAACAAATTGTTTAAATGGTGGTTAGAAGTTATAAGGCGACAAAATCAACTTCATTGCAGCAAGTTTTATCCCACAAGGTTCTGTCACTCCATGGCCAACAGTGTCGCACAAAATGCAATTCTAGTTTACTGCACAGCACAGACTAATGTGAGTTTGCGATGGTGCAGTAATTTTATCTGCACACTGGTCTTTCTGTGACCTGTTATTTGTTCCTAAAATTGTAACAGGTGGTTTTGCAGTTTCTGTTCTCGTTAGATAATCAAACCCTGGGTAACATGTTCATAATTTTCAGGAAAACAGGCAGCTTTGCAGTGTCCATTGGGAGCCACTGTGGCGTAGCAGCTAAATGTTCGCCTGCTGATTGGAAACTTGTGGGTTCAGGACCTGATGTACATTTTTTCTTCTTTCAAAAATGACCTTGGCCCCCAGGTTGACACAACCTTGAGTGGGTAGAACGTAAAGTCTTGGAAAGTAAAAGCGGTCGGCAAGATGTTGACCACATCACCCACCAAGTGCCGACTAGTCTATAAAATATAGGTCTAGCCCGATATGCCTGAAGACATGGAAAATGGTCCTTTACTTGCAACGTCTATTCTCATATTCTGATATGCAATGCACCTGACTTTTTAAAAAAAGTATGTCAGTTTCACGCAAAATCAAACTAGGCATGGTTGTTGGAGACAATCTCCAGTAGTCTTCTTGTGTAGTGGAAGCTCAAGCCTACTGCAATCCACTGCTACAACTAATTTTTCTACCTCTTTATTCATCCACAGACATAACTCTGAGGTGCCTGTTTATGGTACTGTTGTGATATTTCTGCCGAAACAATAACTTCAAGTATCTGATGCAGGGTTTGCCTTCCCAGTCACCAATAAAATCAATTTCCCTTTCTGCTATTAGCACCATGGGAAGGAAGTCTGCGACCCATCGCTGGATGGGCAGCAATGACTGTTGTGATTCTGTGTCAATGTAAAGGCTCTTTAATGTTATTGCTCTATATCCTAGGGAGACCTCTTGCTTTCACATCAAATCTTTTCATGCATAGCACCAGCCTTGGTAGCTGTTCTTGCTGAATGAATTCTTACTAGTTGACTAAACAATTTTATCTTGTTTCTCAGTGAATTTACTGCAAGGTGTTGTTCCCAGTCTGGCCTTTCCAGTGACTTAAAATTTTTAACAGTGAAACCTGCCACAGGGTTACCACACACATACACAAAACAGACCAAGTTACCTTTTCTGTATAGACTTGATGATTAAAATGAAACAAGTAAAAGGATACACGACTGGGTTGAAGTTCTTGAGGACAAAGAAAGAAGACACAATCAACAAGGCCAGGTAAAGGGCATTGTTGTAGAATATGGAGAATGTGGTTGCCTCATAATCTGCAATCTCGTTTTTCTTCCAAAGGACCCTGGTTCAGATAAACAAGTCAACAGTGTGGTTATTGCTTGAACAGTGAACATCATTCCACAATGAGCTTACCAGTTCCTATACCAGCACTCATAATTCCTCTTTAACAACACTCATTTACGGTTACCTCCATAAACTACCCCTATCTCGCGCAATGTGATTCCCTTCTCTTACTTCCTAGTTAGTCACCTCTTCTCACATTGGTAACAGAACAGTGGGTATGAATATCATGTTAAATATGTTGTCTGTCAGTTTCAAACATGGGTGTTTGAGCAGTACTGAGAGCTGAGACATCTTATTTCCATCTATCAAGGCACTCAAATTCTCTTACAATAATGTCCTACTCACCTTAATTAAAGGCTTTTTGGCAGCAAGAGTAAACAATGCAAAAGTGTAAACAGATCATTTTGGTGTGCAAGGACCAGGGGATCTGGCCAACACTACACTCAGAGAAAACAAGAGGCAAGACTGAAATGTAATTGTCAAATTGCTACTGATACCATTGGAATTGGAACACTTCGCTGGCTGGTGAAAATGAAAATGGAGTGCTATGGGAATGATCCATGTTTACTGATGTCAGTTCCTGAACCCAACACAACTTCTAATTAGTTGTGCATCTAGGAAAACAAAATCATTTCCTTGATATTTCAAGGTTTACTTTTCTCATTATACTTTCTCTGACTTGTAGCCATCAACAAATGTTGGAAATATGTTTCTTATATTACATCCACCCTCTAGAATCTCAGTGCTGCTATTTTCTTCTTCTTCTTAGAGTTCACTGGCTGTAAACTCCAGCGGAAAGTTCTGGTTGTTTGTCCACTCCTGGGATTTGATCTTGTGCCAGAACTTGAGTTTTGTAATAACATCTGTCTTACAAATATTTTTATATGCAGACTGTTGGTTCCTTTTATCACAAACAGATGCAACACCAGCTTTGAAGAAAATGCCCCTAATTAACTGCATTTATCTACACGCATGTTAGAAAAATAAAAGGAGGTTGGGGGAGAGGTGGTAACGTGCCCCTCCCAAATGGGGCCCCAAACTAACACAATGATTGCTCTTTAAGAATCATGCTATTGACAAATTTGTGGTCTTACCTCTCATCTTTTTCCTTCTTTGTCATTCGTTTATCATCAGCAAATTTCTTCAGTGTCTCTTTGGCAACAGCATCTTCTCTCTTCACAGCAATCCTAAACAAAATGACGACTGTCTATTTATGCCAGAAGCAAACCAAAGGGGGTCAGTACCAACCCCACTACTTATAGCACACCGTTGTGGACCTGCATTGATTCATAATTGCCCCATGCGTTACCTGTGCATACTTTCCTTTAAAAAAAAACCTGACACTGCACTGTGTACTTTCCTCAAACCACTTTTACACTGCACTGTGTACTTTCCCTAAATCACCTTTACACTGCACTGTGTACTCTCCCCCAAATCATCACGATATTATCTTGTGTACTCTCAAGTCATCACGATACTGCCTGACACATGTTTCACAAATCTCCAAGACATTTCCCCATCTACTGCCCCATGACACATTTCTCTTTTGCTTCCATGGAATCCTAACTGCTCCATAATCACTGAGTCAGCAGACATTTCACTATGCCAGTCAGGCTGCAATGTTCAGTGTCACATCTTCGTTGATTCTTTCAGGCTGTTGGTTACATTCATGTAAGCTGGCGTAAAAACCAACATAGTATCAAATGGAACACTCTCACAAGTACCCCATTCCTATCTTAAGCAGCAACTATGGAGTTCTAATTCTGATGATATCAGCAACAGTCTGAATGTGTGTCAGTCGTGCCTTTTCTCTGAGTGTTGTTCACATTTACTGGTCATTCTTAACTGCACTATTCTCTTCAGACCAGATGATCTATTTGTGCTTCCACGCTGTCCACTCCCTCACAAAGGTTCTTATCTAGCTTGTCATGCATTAATCTACTACTAAGCGAGCAAAACCACTCTCATGTAATCAAAATAACAACAGTCTTCTTATATATATATATATATTCCTCTCTTGGGTTTACAAGTCAATAGTTGAGGTTTCACTTTACTGCAAATGGGCCACCCTATAATTGTAGTGGTCCTGTGCTAGTGAAAATCATACAAAATACTCTTCACTGTACCATTTAAAAACTAGTAAACAAACAAACAGTCTTGCAAAATCCATAAACATGCACATGCAGTAAATGCCTAAAACATTAGCTAGATGTTTCAACACAAACAGCCCCCACCAGAATTTTATCTAAGCATATAATACTGTGTAGCCACTAAATGCTTCCCTGAGGATCAGAAGGTTGTGGGTTCAGATCCTGATTTAGCTGAACTGTTTTTTTCTCAAATGACCTTGCCACTCAGGTCAACCCAGCATTGAGTGCATGTGCAGTCTTGGGAAGTAAAGGTGGTCAGTGTGATGCTGACCACATCATCCACCAAATGCCACTTGGTCAATAAAATATAGATCTAGCCTTATATGCCTATAGGCATGGAAAAGAATACTTTACTTTTTTGTTTTTGGGGTACAATTCTGACACATAAGTCTCTTCCCAACCTTTGCATTCATTTGTTAGGTTTACTAACACTCGACAGCTGCCATCCAAGGTAACCATTTATATGTGGTGTCATTTTGTATACAGATTCCATCCAAGATAACAATTTACACATGGTTATTGGGTGTCTTTCTGTACACAATCTCCATACAAAGAAACAAAATTTACCAGCCACAGAAAACAGATAAGTGTTATTGCTACATTTAGTTTTATAGAATGAATAAATACTTCACAAAAAACAATGTATACAGTTTAAATAGTTTTTTTCTTTATCTATTATCCTTTCCTTCAGCATCTCAAGCCCTTGAGGTTCACTGCTTCAGATTTCAGCTGCCCCCATTCTTTCTCTTTCTAGTTGCTGACTCCAAATGTATGTAGGTCTGCCTATATACTATTTCTTGGTGTATTAAAATTCAACACATTTGTGCAGTTTTGTCTCTCTGTTATGTCACAACCATCTACTAATCCTCTACATACCAGTAATTAGGCAGATTATGAAATTTTCTTTCTTCATTGTCCGCTGTTTGCAACTCCGATGGATCTAAAGATTTGTTGTAGTCAAATATTTCTTTATAGTATTCTATAAATAGTATTGTATTCTTGGTATTATGAGACAGCATCTGATTTACCACATGTAGATCACAGTACACATCTACTGTCAGAGACTGCACTAGTAAGAGGATGGCTGATTGTCAGAGGAACCACCAAGAGGTACAGGTCCCTCTTTTGGCTTGAGCAGACTTGGTTGGATTAACTTTCAATGGTCTGGGTTTTTACCAAGCAGGAAATGAATGGACGATCTACTTCCTCGTGTTCTTGAATGGTGGATCCAATAGCTGCTAATATCAGAAAAGTGAAAAAGAGTGAAGGGACTTGTGTGCACTTTGCATGTTTCCAGCAGTGGCACATGGGGAAAAAAACTGAACAGCTGCTCTCTGTGTTAATAATTCACAATTACAAACCATATCCACAGATACATATTTGTAGCATGGATGATTCTGGAGCCTTGCGGGCAATTTGGAGTTCACAAACAGTGCCAGCCTTCTCTTTGTGTGACTTATAGAAGCCACCTGAAGCACTAAGGGAATGCAATTAAGGAGATCCTTAATCAAAACCAACCAAAGTCTAGTAGTGTGACATCCCTGCCTGGTCCAGACTTCAGACAACTTCCAAACCGTCGGAAACCCCAATATAACCTTTAGGTTGAACCAGAATGTGTAATCACTGGATTCTTCTGCTTGAGCTGCTAATCCTGGAGGGGACAAACTGCTGCAATTAAGTCTGACAAGGAAAGGTTAACATATCTTCTGCCCTTTATCCTCTTGTAATAAAGAAACTTATCCAAACTGCGCTCAGTGGTCCTATTCTTTGTCTTCACACACCCCATGCAGATAACAATGTAATAACATCTTTTTTGTAAAAACTACCTGCTAATAATAAACACATTCTGATATGAACTTAGAATTAAAATATGGACTAAAGCTAAAAATAAAATTAACAAATGAAAACTTTTTAGTTGGTTTTCTCAGAACATACTTGTGCTTGAGAATGAACTTGAGGTTACGGTATGCCATTGCTACCAAGTAGGTGCTGATGATTGTGCCAATGGCAAAAATGATGGCTGACTGGTAGAGGTCCATCTGATGAATACGCCAAAACAACCCTGAGGACAAGATGGAAGTCTGCATGAAATCATAAACTTACAGTATAGAAAAAACATTTCAAAGAAGAAAAATACTTGCATTCTATATAAGACCTGAAAAAACAGAAGTAATGGCAATTTTAAAAAAAAGTGCTTAAATGTATAATTAATGTCAAAGACATTATTTTAAAACGTACATTAATGTAAGTATCTATGCACATGTATAACATCCGGCGGAAGATGTGTTGCATGCTCTATAGAGCCAGTTTTAACATTCGGCTGTCAGTCCTAGACAATTAATAAACAAGCCAAACAATTTATTGAGGCCTCGGAGATGTGGTTTTACAGAAGAATCCTTAAAATTCCTTGGACAGCCAAAAAGAGTAACCAAGATGTTTCGAAGGTGTTGGCTTAAAGATAACTTATCTCATACATCAGAAAGAGACAGTCATCATTTTCTGGGTATTGTTATAAGGAAACTGCAACATGTTGTGATCACTGAAAAGATCTGTGGTAAAAGATACAGAGAAAGGCATTGCCAGATGATTCTTCAGTCTTGTCATGGCACTGAGGTGTAAAAATACAGTTAATGATACATAATGCTGGTCTTTCAAGTATGAGCGGACAAACACCCTTCTTGGATGCCTCTGACAGAGGGCCTAGAAGAGGAATAGCAGATCTACTTTTTTGCAGCCTCCATGGTGGACATCAGAGGCAGAACAAGTATGGAAGTTAAAAAGAGCTGCAGTAAAGCGATTTAAAAAAAGTGTGACAAATACCCCTAAGCATGCAGGAGGAACTGGAGTGTGCGGAAAGATATACAAAAGATAGGATAGAGGTTTTCAAGCGCTGTGCAGCAGAGGCCAAAAAAAAAAAAAAAAAAAAAAAAAAAATTCAAAATGGGAACATTTTATTAATGAAATTGAGAGCAATAATACTTAGGGGAAATTTTGCAAGCTACACAGACAGATGCTCAAGAAAGATAGGCCCAGCTTACAATTCATAGAGATGACGGCTTGCTTTTGAACACAAAGAGAAGGGTGAGGCTTTCCTGAAGAGGTTCATTTCACAGATAGACCACTAAGATGAGACAGAGATGCAGTTAGAGAAGATTTGTCAGCCGCCATAAAGAATAAACAATGGGTAGGGAAACTTTTAATTTATATTTTAATGACTCATCGAGCCAGATTCAGTTGATTGATATTCAATTGATATATATTGATCTGATCTAATCTCCCAAGTCGACCTTTTCAGAAAATGTCTTGTGAAATCAAGGCGGCTGTTGTGCATATACTATCACACACTAAGTGCAAATTGATCTATAACAAAATACTAGATTATAACTAAGTACTACCTATATGCTAGCCGAAAGATGCTCAGTGGTGAGTAACATGAAACAGCTTCCTTAGTATTTATATGTTGTTTTCCTTAGACACTTGACTAGTCCTTAAGTAACAGAATATTTCATAACTGTTGTGATCAATTTGAAACAAGCATATAATCATATAATGTCTCACACTGAAAATAACATAATTTAAAAAAAAAACTTAGGCAATAAAAATGAGTCTCTACTGGCTGCTGCACAGAATTCGCCACGTCAACAACATATTTATAAGTGATAACGCGTGTCTGCTGTAATACATGCCTGTCCTTCAACTTACATACGGGGATTGCTGAAACTATAAAAGCGTTTCCATAAAACAGTGCGGAGGACTTTGTGGAGACATTTCTGCTGAAATCCTGAAGCAAAAGTTCCTCCTCCCGAGATAGCTTGTTTTGCTTGCCGCCTGCCATGTTGTCTGTGTACCGGAAAAGGAAATGTCTGCCGGCTGGGCGGTGTCGTGGCTTCTCTAACGCTAGGCAGATATGTCTGGTCTGACCTCTGACCTCACGACTGAGTCGCCTTAATATGTGACAATCTTTTAGAGTCAAGTAACTCACAAACGTTACTGGTTATTCTTCTAGTCATAGGGGCGCTGACGCAAAGAATAAATGGCACAGGGGCACTCAACCCCGTTACTAAATTTTAGGGGGGGGGGGGGGCCATAATAATATGTTCAGTGTCAAATGAGAATCATCAAAGCAATACGTTTTAAATATTATGATGCCTATAGACACAAACTTAAAAAGATAACTACTACACATAGCTGGAGGAAGGTGAAGGGCGCAGATGTGGACTCCTTACAGCTTTACTCGATCCTCTGCCAACTCTTCGCCTATATACTTGTTTTGGGGCCTGTGGGAGCTCAAAGTCCCTTAAACGTCAGGTTCCGGTGCCCCTATCTGTATAGAATAACGCCTTTCCTTACTCCTCGTCTACTAGTCCATCAACTCGTTATATCCCAATATTTGCTGTAACTCGTTCTGCCTTTAACTCAGGCCCAAACCGGGACGAGATATTTTGTTCTTTTAATGCCTTACCACTACTGCCCTAAAAATAACCTACAGGGTTTCTTGGGCTTGCTCCCTGGCGATTTTTGTCCCAATGGTGGCACTTTGTGTTACCATATGTTTATCGCTCGTTGTGCAATCCTGGTGGGGTTGAAAGTCAGTCAGCCGTTAGATCAACATATCATTCCTAGACCTAACATGTAAAGCATTTTTTTGGGGTAATTAGCCAGCTTCACCCAGGCTGTTCTCTGGGGCCCTAATATAACATAAAGGATGAACGGCGTCTCTGGGACGTGTACCTGGATGATTCTCATCCGAATGGTGGCACTTTGTATCAACGGGTGTTTATCACTCGTTGTACGGTCCCATGGGAGGGGGGGGGATGAACGTGCCAGTCAGTTAGGCCAACACTTTGTGTCCTGTTAATATTATATAAGAGCACACGCAGCGCCCCCCCCTTCCCCCGTCCCCCCCCCCCCCACCGTATCGCCTCTTGTTTTCAATGTTGTTCCTTGCAAGGGAGCACTTAGATTATGTTGACATCTGTCTATGACATAAACTGTTTGCAGAAGGTCAAGTATATTGTTGCTATTATAGTTCGTTCCAGAAGTTCTGCTGAAATTTAAAAACGTGTAACCCAGTAACAGCTCGGTGTAAGTTGTTGATATTTGCCATGCAGCTTATTAACAATCATCTCCTTGTAAATACTTTCTTTTTAATTATCAGACATCTAGTTTGAATTTTCCCGTTTTTGCGCTAAAGAAGAAATAAAAAAACAGACACTGATTCAAAGCAAACAATCAATACGCTCATACAAACGTGACTAAACTAAGCAAGGAAAATAAAACATAATAAAAACATTAGATTGCACGTGCGCTATGTAGGTTTCACTCTCAGGTAGTCATCAGCAGCATGTTTCCCGCGAGATGCGGATTTTTCATTGAGTGGGTAATCGGCTTTCAAAATAATCACCACATGGTTGCACATTAAAAGTGATTTTCAAAGAATCTCCACACATGGGTCAGATACTGTACATTATATTGTCTAATTTTTAGGGTAGAGAAATTATTAGTCAGACAAAGAAGAAATTCACATCTGTAAGAAAACAGCAACATCTGCACAACTGTAAATTATAGAATCATATGAACAAGGGAAATCTAATGCCATATGCAAAAATTGGTTTTGATCCGTATAGGAGTTTTCGAGGTATCTGTTAAAGTGTGACGACATGAGTTTTGAACAAAACTATAGAAGAGTAAAATCTCTCAAAGATTTAAAATTGAGGAGCTGGATAGCACAAAGTTTAGTGGAGGGGGAAACCCCGTGTAGCAATCATGCTTGAGCAGAGATATGGCCAATTCGAGGAAAAGATAAAAGATAGTCGAAGAATATATATTATTCCTAAAAGTCCATTTTGAGGTTTTTTTTTAAAGTGTCTGATCACATTTTATAGAGGAAAAGGGCGAGGGAGGGGAGCGGGGGCTGGGGGGGGGGGAGGAGACACCAAGCCACGGTTTCCTGAACAGGCACTCTGAGATTATGACGACAGAGCATCTTGCTCTCAGTGCAGGTTCCTGCTCTCAGTGCAGGTTCCTGCTCTCAGTGCAGGTTCCTGCTCTCTTATACATGGGTCCCTTTGTGATTTGCTTCGGCCATGCTGCTGCTCACCCGCTGTGACTGGTGAACGCACTGATGGAGAGTTGCCAATTTATGCCAGTGAATGTTTGACTTACTCAAGATTTGATATCGTTGCACACAGGGAGTCCCAGACGTGCACACTGTATAACATTGTCGGGGGAGTGATGTCAGGAGTTGACCATCACAATTTTCCACTCGATTATTTTCTCTCCAGGTTTTTAAATCTCAAAGTGTCAAACAGAAGTAGCAACAGAAGTCAAACAGTCAGTCACGCACGAGGTTTGATTTTGGAGTGTATGATGCGTGGATGGACCGCAATGTTGTACACACTAACATGTTTTTGGGAGATACTAGAGTAATTATTCAGCGTTGTTGGCATGATTTTTTAAATTGACATATTTGATGATAACGTGTAATTAGGACTAAGACGTAGATACACACACGCAGAGACACACAACTTGATATACTCTTGAGCTTTTTTTTTTTATTTTGCACTCAACAACCAATGTACTAAAATATTTTTTTTTTATTATTTTGCACTCAACAACCAATGTACTAAAATATTTTTTTTTAATTTATCATGTGGTATGTTGGACATACTATATTAAAAATGGCGTAATTTATCAAGTTTATGTTATACTAGATTTAAATTCCCGGCCTCACCCCGGATAGTGAAAGAAAATCTGTTTTTCCCGTCCTCAACCTCATCTTGGTCTACACCGCTGCCCTATATGTAAGCTTGGTGAAAAAAGGGGTCTAAGTAAACTCTGTATTTAATATCCTGTCTTCTACTTCAACTTTGTCTCTACCGTATATTTGGTCATTGCCCCAAAGTGCACCTGAGGCATCCCTGTATTACTAACACTAATATAACAATTTGGGAGACAGACAAATGCCATGTATCAGACACACATAAATATGTTATTTCAAGTAAGATAACAGCGAAATATAAATTTTTTTTTTTTAAATAACCACAGTGTCAAAGGAAATAATAGGCGAAAATGTTCGAAAGGGTTTAACTTCGGCGAAAGTATACTTTCACTGACTGTCTCAATAAATAAAGAAATGCACAATAACCTGGGCCGCCAATGTGACTTTTAGATTGAACACTATTCAGTGGTAAATGAGAATTTAACTTGTGTATTCGTCATGGCTTGTGGGAAGTTAACAATTAATTTATAATACCCACACGAAATACAGAAAGGGTTTGTGATTTATATATAAAACACTGCGTCTCTCCGTCGAACTCATTTCGTTTTCTTGTGTGTGTGTGTGTTAGTGCTAACCAACTTCCACCAATGCACATCACTTGCAAAAAGTACTTCTAGCTGTGTGAGCCTTGTGTTTAGCAAATTGCTGGAATTTTCCCAGTTCCGTCAGGGGCAAAGACCAGTTAGAAGCAGAGGGTCCGTGTACGAACCTACTTTGCATGGGAGATGGGCAAACTGGGAAAAGCTAGGGAGGGCCTCACTCGAGGGCTCTCAGAGGTTTCGTGTCCTTATTCATAAAGTTATGTTCAGTATTTTTATTCGTAAACTTATCACTATCATAATAACATCACTCTAATCTCAGATGCTCACTTCTCTAGCTGAAGCATCTCATTACCACCATACCATCAGCCAGTCACCGACTGACTATGCTACAATGACAAATGTCACCCAACTGATTGATAGTATAATACATCAAAAAATAAAGTTTGGAAAAAAAAAATAGTTCCGAGATGTGACGCAACTTTTCGTTCTTTTGAAGCCCCACCCCGGCTTTTGCCCTGAGCCGCAATATAGCCTGACGGTTGAACGTAGTTTCTGGGACTCCTCCATGGGTGATCCTCATCCGCATGGTGGCACTCTGTGTCGCCGGGTATTTATCGTTCTGTGTGATGTCTTGGTAGGGTAAAATTCACTTACCTACTTACTACTTTTGGTTGTGGTACTTTAATTTTTTTTAATTGTGTAAATTAAAAAAAAAATTGTAATTTTAAAATGTTTTTAATTAATTTTGTTAAATTGGGGGGGGGGGGGGGGGGGGGGGGGGGGGGGGGGGGGGGGGGGGAAAGGAGAAAAAGGGGGGGGGGGGCTGACATTTTTTTCCTTTTGAAATATTTATTTTTTAATATTTTAAATTTTTACAAATATCTTTTATTTTTTTTTCTATTTTTTTTCCAACTAGCATTTCGTCCCAAATGGAACGCAATTTTTTGTTATTTTGGGCCCCCCCCCCCCCTCCCGACCCCAGGCTTTTGCCAGGGGCCGCAATATAGCCTATCAATTGATCGCGGTTTCTGGGACCTCTCCACGGGTGATCCTCATCGGCATAGTGGCACCTTGTGTCACAGGGTGTTTGTCGCTCTGTTTAATGTTCTGGTGGGGTGAAATGTACTTACTGACTACTTTACTTTTTTGTTGGTTTAAAGCCCCCACTCTGGATGTTGCCGGGGGCCTAACATGCCCCAACCCACGGGTTAAACGGGTTTCTGGGACCTGTTCTCGGGTGATGATCATCCGAATGGTGGCACTTTGTGTCACCAGGTTCATATCGCTTGGTGTGATGTATGGTGGGGTTGAACGTCAGTCAGTCACTGGATACACGGTGGGACGTAATTTGTCGTTGTTTTCAAGCCCTAGTATATCTTAAAGGTTAACGGGGTTTCTGGGACTTGTGTGTATCGCTCGTTGTGGCGTTCAACGTAACTCACACGGATACAGGAATGTAACTGATTATCTTTACAAATAGTCATCTACAGTTTCATAACACGATTAATAAAA